ACTTTGCTAAGGATCCTCATTTCAAGTATAGAAAAAGGGATGTGGGAAACACCGTGTAACAGTTTGTCCTTTTCAGAGGGGGAATAGAAATCTTCAAAGGAAATGGAAGGCTTTTGTTTTGTTTTTGTTTTTGAGACGGTGTCTCACTCTATGGCCCAGGCTGGAGTGCAGTGGTATGACTGTCTCTCACTGTACCTTCTGACTCCTGAGCTGAAGCAGTCCTCTGCCTCAGCCTCCCAAGTAGCTGGGACTATAGGCACATACTCTAACACCTAGCTAGTCTTTTTTTTTATCCTTATTATTTTTAGAGATGGGGTCAGGCTGATCTCGAACTCCTGAGTTCCAAAGACTCTCTTGCCTCATCTTCCCAAAGTGCTAGGATTGTAGGAGTGAGCCACTATGTCTGGGCAAAAACTCAAGTTCTGTTGGTTTGTGGCTTCTTTGCTGTGATCATCACCAAAATCTGTTACTAAGTGATTGCTACAAAGCTCCTTTAGATGATGATGTGGTTTCCTCCCCCAGTCCCACCTCAGTTTATAAAACGTTTGATTTCCTTTTACAGGTTCTATAGCACTGGATTTTCAACCCAAGTAACTCTGACTTTGTTGTGTTTATCTATGAATCTGCCTCATCTTCTCCACTGGAGGATATCACTTCTCCCTAGAGTCATTGTTTTATTGTCTTGACCGTGGAAGTCACATGAGAGATGATGGTGTCTTAGATCAGGGCAGCAATAACATACGAAGTGGTAAGATATAAGAGAGAGTGAAAGTTTAAGTAACACCATTTCTGACCTATTAAATGTGAGTGTCAGAAAAAGAGAAGTCTAGAATGGCTCTGAGTTTTTAGTTTGGCCTGAAAACTGGAAGGGTATTCTCCATGAGATGGGGAAGGCTGAGGGAAGAGCAGCCTTTCAGGGAGAGAGAGGAAAATGTTAGACACCGACATACTTTTAAACATCCAAGTGGAGACGCCAAGTAGATAATCTGGTATGGAAGATGGGTGTCATCTGTAGCTGTGCATCCAATGTGGTAGCCATTAGTCACACTTGGTTATTTAAGTTTAAATTGAAAGGTTTTTTAGTTTGACCACACGAGTGCATTTCAAGTGTTCAGTAGCCATATGTGGGCAACTCTGGTGGTCACATCTTGGCAGAGATGAGGGGAGGTGGAATCATTGTGTAGTAAACGACCTGGGTTTAGATCCAGGTCAGGGCATCCTGAGTAATGCGGCGGGGGGTGGGGACAGGGACGACAAGACGGCTACGGATACAGACACAGAGACAGGTTTGACAATGGGAGATTGTGTGAGTTCCCTTCTTGCTGGTTGCATTGATAATTTTTTCTGGTTGGCTTGAGTGAAGGACTGGGGAAGCTTGACATCTGGTTGTTTTTGCTTAATGCTGGTGACACTTTTATCATCACAGTCTTTTTCTTAAACACATTTTTTTTTTTCCTAAACACATCCTGCTGTTCACAGCAACATTTGAAAATGTTTTGCAGTGAAACCACATGCCATATATGGCTTAGGCTCTAGAATCTGTCTAAAAGGTGAGGAGAATATATTTCAAATGTGTGTCGAAAATCTGTCAAACTACTTTTTGAATCACCAGAACGTAAGTCCCGGAAGCTCAAAATGCAAGAACTAATGTTCTTTTATATTTTCTTTGCGTTTTTATTGGGGATCTGTTCCCCTGTGGCAGAATATATTAGGATCTAGTTTGAATGGGAGGAATGGGGTGGTACTGGAAAGGAGAGATGAGTGTAATTTCTTTCTGTATCGCACTTACATTTAAGTTTGCCTCCATGACATGCACGTGTGTGTGATGTTACCTCATTGTATTGTAATACCATTCTGCCTTGTGGGTCTTAGTTCACCAAAACTCTTATACATCGCACTCGTATTGTATTGCCACACAAGTAAATATGGTACACTGCGTAGTTTTCTCTGGTACAAAGTCTCTGCATTTTTGTTGCGTAAAAGCAAACCAAAGTGCTACATTTGACATACCGCTGGCCGGGTGCGGTGGCTTACGCCTGCAGTCCCAGCACTTTGGGAGGCCAAGGCGGGTGATCACCTGAGGTCAGGAGTTCAAAACCAGCCTGGCCAACATGGTGAAACCCTGTCTCTACTAAAAATACAAAAATTAGCTGAGAGTGGTGGTGCATGCCTGTAATCCTAGCTGTCAGGGGGCTGGGGCAGGAGAATCGCTTGAGTCTGGGAGGTGGAGGTTGCAGTGAGCCAAGATTGCACCATTGAACTCCAGCCTGGACAACAAATGTGAAACTCCATCTCAAAAAAAATATATATATTTAAAGAGTAAAGTGAAATACTGCTGTAACTGAATAAGAAATTGAGCTATCAACCAGCATCAAGGTCATCTTCTGAAGGTAAAACTGCTCTCACAATTCTAGTTTGACCATGAATAATACGGTAAAGTTTCTATGTTTACGTAGTATCAGATGAAAACACTAACAGAAATGGTGCAGGAAAGCATAGTATTTATTCAAAAATACTACGGAAATAGGGAAGCATAGTGTTTATTCAAAATGTGTGAAATGTTGTGTTAAATTGAACACAGGATTCCAAGAAGAGCTGTATGACTTACCTGTGAAAGTTAAAAAAAAAAAAAAAATAGCAAAGATCTTCAAAACTGTAGGACTCTTAAGACTGATTTTGAGATTTTGATTGGCGATTAATAATAATTGGACATTTGTTCATTGTAATGGGACTACCTGTTGTGTTTTATATCGATTTTGTTTTGGATGGGGGCGGGAGATCATGTTAACATTTTGATTGTCTCTGCAAGGCACCAAAATTTGCTTTGTTGCACAACAAAGTGATGTCCACACTATGGAATCTTCAGAGTCAGTCATATACTCCTGGAGGCATTTAAGCTAATAGCAAAATAGAAACCATTTTGTAGCATCCTAAAGAGTGATCTGGTAAAATGAAGGGCCTTGAACAGCTGCCACCCACCCAACTCTAATGAAGGTGGGATCCTACCAGATGGAGATTGAGCCAGAGGTTCCTATTTTTAACTGCCAATCAGCCTTGCCTCTTGGGCATGAATGCCCAGTTTTGGTGGTAAAGAATTTTCCACAAGCTTCATGGAGTGGGAAAGAACCAGCTATTTATATTCATGCTTTGAACTTGAAAAAGAAAAAAAAAAAGGAGTAGTTAAGAAAAAAAGGGCATTAAGAAGGGAGACAGATATGTCTCCTACATCAAAAACAAGGTGATATATCACATTGTTTAGGCACATTGTGGTTTGTGGCTTTAAGCTAATTCCCTAGTCTCTTGTGTGATGTTGCACAAGTTCTCTTTCTCTGTTTGTTTTTTTTTTTTTTTTTTCCAATGAACATATAGGCAGCTCCACTATAGAGTTGTTAGAAGAATGTTGTATGATGCATTAAGAATACCTGCAGAGAGCTTGGCACTTGGGAAGTGCTTGATACATGACTGCTCTCATTTTAGTAGTCAGACTTTATAGGATCAGATTTATCCCCAGTCTTTGCCTTGGTGGAGGTTCAGTCTATTCTAATGCATATATTCCAAATCCTGATTCTGAACATGTTTCTCTTTTTTTTCTTACCTGCTCATCCTAGTACAGAGTTAAAAAATTTGCTTTGGGAAATTTTTCTATGGAAATCACATTAGAAACCCATTTGGATTCTAAAGTTGATGATAGCAACTCTAAGTGGGGTATTCTGTGGGTTTTGGAGTGCTTCCCTTGTTCCAACTTCCTCGAGCACCCAGGAGGGAGCTTGTAAATTGTGACCTAGGCTAGATCATGAAAACGTATATACATAGATTCTGTTTTAACTGTTATCTGTAGGGCACCGGCATGTGTGTTTACCATGCTAGATTTTTAAGTTAGGGTTGAGATCCAACAATATAACCTTTCTTCCTTCATTATAATACACGTACGTACGTGTGTGTGTGTGTGTGTGTGTACATTGTGGGCTTATGGCCAATGTCAATTTTGTTTTGCTCTTTAGCATCTATCTAAATCACAGTTTTGATAAGGTGAAGGTACACATTTGTAAGTGTCATGGGAAAACTTTAAGTCAACATAAAACATACTTGGGAACAATGAAGTATACCAATGTTAAGGTCAAAATGTCATGTAAATATCTTTAAAAGGTTCAGTAAGATTTCTGGAATTCCAGGGTCTGACCTGTATCTTGATCTCTGATTTTTATCTTACATTGTCCAGATTCTGATGCAAGGCAAAAATCCGGGGATAGCTTGGAAGTATGCACTTCCCAAGGTCATGAATGGAACTCCACCCACCACAAAAAGACACGTTCATGCCTGGAGTATCGTGCAGTCGGAGTGCTCAGTCTCCTGCGGTGGAGGTACCTGATTTTCTAATCCTATCTTCCAAGTTTGTCTCTCTTAAAACAGGTTCTTTCACTCCAGGCCTCTTTAACATAATACCGTTTAAATGAACCACCCAAAAACTGTCTTTTATAAGAACCATGACCAGGAAAGCAAATATAAGGGCATTAGTTAAGGATTCTCCTACATGTGGTGAGAAATCAGCTCTCACAAAGCTCAAATCAACCATAGCCAAGGCTCAGACGTTACACATCTAAAACTTATGGGGAAAACATATAAAATATATTTACTTATTTACAAATATAAGCATACATTTGCTTATATGCCTGTTTCAACACACACAACACATATACACATATATGTTATATATATTGACTTTTTATAATAAAAAAGTCAAGATTGGGGGAAACTAAACTGTAAGCTGAAAATTAAACACACACACACACACACACACACACACACACACAGCCTTCCATTTGGAAGTTATAAAAGCTAGGGTCAAGGCAACTGAGGACACATACATGGCAAACTGCAGACAGCTATCTGAAACATGGATATCCCCTCAGGGGTAAGGTCAGCAAAGGCTCTTTCACTAGAGGAATGGATGAAATCTGAGGCATAACCCTTGCAAGGAAGGAACAACAGCAGCCATCTACTCAGAGAGCAGAAGGAAGGCATTTTATTTAGATGTCAACAATGTCACATATTTGGGGGTTAAACAATTGTCACACTTGTCCATTTGGGAGGAAGAATACGTGCCCATAAAGTAGTTCCTGAAACCAAAGCATGAATGTGCGTCTCTAGTTTCCTGTTATTCAGAGCACCTGGTGACAGTGAGCCTTTCTACTGCTTCCGTTCCACTGAGCGTAATAAGTCTTCTTAGAATGAGAGACAGAGCAAAGATACAGAAAATGAAGAAATTCTTACATCCGAAAGGCCTTATCTATAGATGCCCATGCACTTCACAAAAGATGAAAAAAATACTTTTTAAGTATACATATATAAAATAATTAAAAGGGAACACATTTTCTACTAATACACATTTTAAAGGCAATGAACTATAAAGAAGAAAACCCCCCAATTTTTAAATCTGCAATAGACAATGTTAATATTTTGATCTGTATCATTTTGTTTTTTTCCCTATGCATATGTAAGCAAACGTGTTTGACAGACTCAGAGTGATGACATGAGTATCGTTTTCTATTCCTCTTTGCTGAAGTCATGTTATAGACATCTCTGTACACTCTGCTCTGTTTCACTTCGTCATACATTATGAAGTTTTTCATATACCCAGTGCTCCTTGAGAACATTTCCAATAGCTTTCTGGTATATCAGGGAGAGAACAGTTCCTTGGGAAGAAGAGAAGTTTGATTTGCTTTCCAGTTTCCGAGACTAAATCCAGCCAAGAGGAGGATTCGGGGAAGCCAGCTGTGGAATTGTCTCCCTGCCCAGACTTAGCAATGCCTTTGCATGATTAACAGACCCTGGTGTGTCCCATGTCTAGGAGAAAAAGAATTTAGATGAATAAGTCCTATTAAAGTAAATGATTAACTTTCAGGAATGCTGATTTTTGTTTGTTTTTGTTTGAGATAGGGTTGCACTCTGTCACCTGGGCTAGAATGCAGTGGGAGAATGAGGGCCACTGCCGCCTCAACCTCTGGGGCTCAAGCAATCCTCCTACCCAAGTGGCTGGGTTTCGCCATGTTGCCCAGGTTGGTCTCAGACTCCTGGACTCAAGCGATCCACCTTCCTTGGCCTCCAAAGTACTGGAATTACCAGTGTGAGCCACTGTTCCCCGCCTTGGTGTGGTTTTCGTAAGTACCTCCGGAAAGCAAACCTGCTTCAGCCCAAAGAGCAGAACTGACTGCTAATCATTATAGCAGGAGTGACTTTTTATCCTTTCTCAGATTATATTTGAAGACAAAGTGCCACGTAAATAAAAAACACAGTTCAAAGGGGAGGCAGCATTCCTATTTGGGGAACTAAAAAATATAATTATTCACACATTTAAAAAAAGTGTAAGTCCCTGATAAGTAGTTTTGAAATGAACATTGAAAGCAAGGAAGTGGATTGCCACTAAGAAAGCAAAAGCAGAGCCCTGACTGCTAGGCTTGAAGGCATATTTAGTGAGTTCTATTCTTTGCTTGTATGTGTCGTGTACTCTTTTTTTTTTTTTTTTTTTTTTTTTTTTTTTTTTTTT